TCAAACAGTTTCAGTATGGTTTATATTTAAATTGCAATATATTATTATTTTTATCTTTTAGGATTTTTGTTTCTTCATCTCATGTGTTTTATAAAAGTTATAATTGGAGTTGACGTCTACGGTTATATCTTTTCATATATATTGATATAATACCTTTTTCTGTGTCTTCACCTGTTTTTTAAATTAATTTGTAAATATTTTAATGAATTTTTTATACACAGTGATGAGATCATTTTGTAGAAATTATTTTATTCCAGTTTACAGTTTTAATTAGTTTTATAGATGTATTTGTATCAAAGGTAGTTATTATTTCTCTTTATGATTTATTGTTAATGACATTAATTTTACTATATATCTATTAATATACAAATAATACAAAATGGTCGGTTATGTCGGTGGTAATTACTGTTGTTTTCATGAGATATTTTGTTTTTCAGTATTGTTATTTCTTACAAATATACAGAAACGCTCTTCAAAGAACGAAACCACGAAATTTAGAACTGATTTTATTACCTTTATTCAAAACTCCTTCCTAAGGGAGCTAGAGCTCTTTAAAGATAGCGCTCTAAAATCGGTTTAATTGAAATACCTTCAAAACGGAATTTTTACTGTAGTCATAAGCAGCTCGTTTGGGTGGTGTATTGGATATTTTTATTTCATTTATTTTTCTTTCAAAAATTCGCCATTTTGAAATCATCTTTAAAAAATTTCGTTATTTTTATACAAAAATGATTCTTTCGTATGAAGTCTCCATGACCATCCGTTTTTGAGAAAAATCGATTTAAACTTTTTATGTTTCTATTGACTAACAAATAAATTTCTAAATTAATTATAATAAAATGGCTGTGGAAAATAAATGAAATATTAAAAGTTAAAGATGGTTCGGTTTAGTAATGAAGAATATGCTGAAATGCATTTAGTGTATTGTGAAATGCAATGTAACGCGTTGGCAGCGTCACGTAGGTATGCCTAGAAATTTACAAATAGGATACATTCTGCTTCAAAAATATTCACAGTTCTTCATCAAAGACTTAGAGAAACAGGATCTGTAATTCTCAGTAACAACGAAACTGGTAAACATGCTGACGTATTCGAAGATTATAAGAATGCTATTTCAATAGAAATCGAGGAAAACCCTGAAATTAGCATACGAAGATTAGCTGCAATGTATCCCAATATTTCTAAATCATCTGTGTAGAACATTGTCCTTTGGAAAAACTTGTACCCTTTAAATTTTAGAAAAGTTCAGGCTCTTATTGATTATGATTTTCCTGCCCGTGTGGCCTTTTCTATTTGGTTACGAATGCAAGAAAATTAAAATCATCACTTCTTTTTAAACATTTTGTTTTCTGATGAAACTATTTTGACAAGAGATGGCATTTTTAATATGCATAATGCACATTACTACTCTTATGTTGGTGATAATTCTCATGTTATAAAAGAAACTAAACATAAGGAAAGATTTAACATCAATGTATGGATAGGTGTCCTTGGTGAAAATCTGCTTGGGCCTGTAGAATTGCCCAATCGTTTAAATGGTGAGAATTATCTCGACTTTAATTATAAAAAAAAATTCATCCTTGAGCACAATGTTAGGCTGGCAAATGGACTTAGTATCCGTAGCCAAGGGAAACCTAAATCTAATCACACACACATATTTCGACTTTTTATAAAATACTTTATCAAATTTATTGGATAAAATTAATTTAAATATTCGACAGAACTTGTGGTATTTACATGATGGTTGTGCAGCTCACTTTAGGAAAAATGTTCGTGAGTTTTATGACAATAATTACCGAGACCGATAGATAGGAAGAGGTGGTCCCGTTGCTTGGCCAGCGAAATCTCCGGATTTAAATCAATGCGATTTTTGTGTATGGGGATATCTCAAATCAATGGTTTATTCGCAATAAATTGAACCACTGAATCACCTTTGGAGACGAATTCAGAATGCTTGCAACGAATTTAGAAATTATATGGGAATTTTTGCAAGAATTCGGCGAATTTGTGGAGCATCTGCTTTAGATTTAATTTTGTGTTTAATACTTTTAGCTATTATTGTGTTATTATTTTTCAATACTCAATTACTCTGATATTAGCTCTAGAGCTTGTGGCGTCTATCAAACCTAATTATATAGTTGTTTCGGTGACGAAATCAGCGAGCTTACTACTGATTTGGTTTTTTCGTTTTGATGAGGGAATTTCTAACGATACACTTTTTTTTCATCAAAGTCCGAAATTTTTAGATGAAGTTCAAATATAGTATTTTTCGTTTCTTATTTCATCTAGTGAATTAATGATGTTCTTAATAACGTTAACTGCTTTCCTCAGACACGCACCTTTCTCCTGAAGGGTTTTCGATAACAAATTTAAGATTTAGTATACCGTCTAATACAAAAAGATGAATTATGAATGAAGGTTGTTTAATGCTGGATAATATGTCAATTGCTGTGAGTGACTGTTTATCATTTTTATTTTCCAAAGTATTGACAATTCCATCGAAACATAGTTTTACAGCGTGGCAAGTCGTATATCGACACACCCAACGAGTATCGGACAAATATTTCAACTCTCTGAGAACAATATTTTAATATTTGTTTGTATTTGGTATGGTCCTGTGGATCTGAGAAACGTAAAAAAAAATGTCGATATTGATGGAACATTTTTGAGTCTACCACAACCAAGTTAAGTCTATAAGATAAGCAGTGCGTGTAAATTGCAGCTGGATATTTGTCTAGCTATTTACTTGGAGACCATTTATATTACCCGATTCCATCTCCGTCGTAGGATTGACCCACCATCTGTAAGTCGCTAAGTTCAAGCTCTTCCAATTTATTGGAAATTAAATTGAATAAATAATAAATATAAGTAAATTCACCTAGTACGTTATTTTGATACGCAGTTTTTATTTAAATCCTTCAGGGTGGCCAGAGGTACATCAGAAGGGGCCAGGCCCCCCTGGACCCTCCCTAGCTACTCTAATATGTGCTCTTCTGAAGTAAAAAAATTAATTCATGTAAAAATTAAAGTTTCTGTTGATACAATTTGTTTAAAAAAAAAATAATAACAAAATGATAACTAAAAGTATTAAACACAAAATTAAATCTAAAGCAGATGCTCCACAAATTCGCCGAATTCTTGCAAAAATTCCCATATTATTTCTAAATTCGTCTCCAAAGGTGATTCCGTGGTTCAATTTATTGCGAATAAACCATTGATTTGAGATATCCCCATACACAAAAATCGCATGGATTTAAATCCAGAGATTTTGCTGGCCAAGCAACGGGACCACCTCTTCCTATCTATCGATCTCGGTAATTATTGTCATAAAACTCACGAACATTTTTCCTAAAGTGAGCTGCACAACCATCATATAAATACCACAAGTTCTGTCGAATATTTAAATTAATTTTATCCAATAAATTTGATAAAGTATTTTATAAAAAGTCGAAATATGTGTGTGTGATTAGATTTAGGTTTCCCTTGGCTACGAATACTAAGTCCATTTGCCAGCGTAACATTTTGCTCAAGGATGAATTTTTTTTATAATTAAAGTCGAGATAATTCTCACCATTTAAACAATTTAGCAATTCTACAGGCCCAAGCAGATTTTTACCAAGGACACTTATCCATACATTGATGTTAAATCTTTCATTATGTTTAGTTTCTTTTATAACATGAGAATTATCACCAACATAAGAATAGTAATGTGCATTATGCATATTAAAAATGCCATCTCTTGTCAAAATAGTTTCATTAGAAAACAAAATGTTTAAAAAGAAGTGATGATTTTAATTTTCTTGCATTCGTAACCAAATAGAAAAGGCCACACGGGCAGGAAAATCATAATCAATAAGAGCCTGAACTTTTCTAAAATATAAAGGGTACAAGATTTTCCAAAGGACAATGTCCTACACAGATGATTTAGAAATATTAGGATACATTGCAGCTAATCTTCGTATGCTAATTTCATGGTTTTCCTCGATTTCTATTAAAATATCATTATTTATAATCCTCGAATACGTCAGCATGTTTACCAGTTTCGTTGTTACTGAGAATTACAGATCCTGTTTCCCTAAGTCTTTGATGAAGAACTGTGAATGTTTTTGAAGCAGAATGTCTCCTATTTGGAAATTTCTAGGCATACCTACGTGACGCTGCCAACGCGTTACATTGCATTTCACAATACACTAAATGCATTTCAGCATATTCTTCATTACTAAACCGAACCATCTTTAACTTTTAATATTTTAGAAATTAAGATAATTCTAAACCATAAGTAACACAAAACTTACTTACGGTATGAAACACCAGTCATTTGGCATTTATGTAATTGTTATTTGGTTTATTTTCCACAGCCATCTTATTATAATTAATTTAGAAATTTATTTGTTAGTCAATAGAAACATAAAAAGTTTAAATATATTTTAAACGGATGGTCATGGCGACTTCAGACGAAAGAATCGTTTTTGTGTGAAAATAACGAAATTTTTTAAAGATGATTTCAAAATGGTGAATTTTTGAAAGAAAAATAAATTAAATAAAATATCCAATACCCCACCCAAACGAGCCGCTTATGACTACAATAAAAAATTTACGAAATTTGATTGGTTAGATTCAAATAAATAAATGTACAAAATAATATCATTTAATAAACATCCGTTTTGAAGGTATTTCAATTTAACCGATTTTAGAGCGGTTTCTTCAAAGAGCTCTAGCTCCCTTAGGAAGCATTTTTGGATTAAAGTAATTTAGTCTAATTTGCCATAAAATAAGCTGTAAATTTCATGGTTTCATTCTTTGAAGAACGTTTCTGAACACCCTGTATGATCAATACAAGAACTACTTTCTGTAATGACTCTAGTGTATAAGTTAATATGACTTCAAAAATAATAATATTGCTAAGTGATACTTGTTTGTTACGAAGTTTGTCTGATCAAAAATATTAATGTTTATTTCTCCAACAAAAATATCAACTTACTGCAATAAATAATACTTACTGCCCACGAATTGGACTCCAACCTCCAATTAGGACTTAGGGAACGTATCACGCCAATATCATATTCGTAATTGGAAAATCCTATTTCTCCAGCTTCGATATTTGATACTAAACATGTGAAGTAGTGGTTTAAGCCTAAATAATCTTGAGTTCCTTTTATGAAAGCGATTTCTTCTTGAGAGAAGCTTGGTAGTCGAGATTTCGGTAAACCTTGAGATTGGCTCCGTTGTGCGATTCTTTCTTTTACTACTTGTGGCCAATCGCCAACATAAATCGGATGAAAATACAAGCCGCACTAAAATAAAGAAATATTTATTGAAGATGAATTAAGTTCTCTAATTTAATTTTTAGGTCACTTTTTACTGTCTGTATACAGATAACGAAACTATAGTAATCATGATTTGTTTTCGACCTCGAGTTTTCGACAAATTTTTACGTTTTGGGGGTCTTATCCATTTTGAAAATTTTCGCCGATGATGTGTGTGTGTGTGTGTGTGTGTGTGTGTGTGTGTGTGTGTGTGTGTGTGTGTGTGTGTGTGTGTGTGTGTGTGTGTGTGTGTGTGTGTGTGTGTGTGTGTGTGTGTGTGTGTGTGTGTGTGTGTGTGTGTGTGTGTGTGTGTGTGTGTGTGTGTGTGTGTGTGTGTGTGTGTGTGTGTGTGTGTGTGTGTGTGTGTGTGTGTGTGTCTGTGTGTCTGTGTGTCTGTGTGTCTGTGTGTCTGTGTGTCTGTGTGTCTGTGTGTCTGTGTATCTGTGTGTCTGTGTGTCTGTGTGTCTGTGTGTCTGTGTGTCTGTGTGTCTGTGTGTCTGTGTGTCTGTGTGTCTGTGTGTCTGTGTGTCTGTGTGTCTGTGTGTCTGTGTGTCTGTGTGTCTGTGTGTCTGTGTGTCTGTGTGTCTGTGTGTCTGTGTGTCTGTGTGTCTGTGTGTCTGTGTGTCTGTGTGTCTGTGTGTCTGTATACTCCATAACCATGAATGAATACAGATAAAAGCACCTAATTTTAAACTTAAGCTTTAATGCATCCTGTAGCAAACTGATTAGATTTTGAGCATAGTCGAAATATCTGAAGGGGGATTCTTTATATTATTTATGCATGGAGAAGAAAATTTATTAAATAAAAGTTGCTTTTATATTATATATAGTTTGGCAAAAAGTAAAAAATTTAATTTTTTTAATAATTTTTCAAAACAAAGTTTTTTTTGATGGTATTCTCTATAATTTTTGACCCCTACATTATTTCTCCAAATTGGAGATTGAAGATATTTGAGAAATAGTGCAAATTTCGAATTTTGAAGATCAAAAACGGATAAAGAGAAAAACAGATGTCAATTAAAATCATAACTACTAAAAACACCAAATTTTAAATTAGAGCTTTAGTCCATCCTGCGGTGAACTGATTAAATTTTAGGCATAGTCGGAACTTTATGGAGGGTCGGTTTTCTACTCTATACAGCGCGTGTCCAAGATAATGTGCGGATTCAGATAGAACATTAAAAATAGGATGACAAGTTCCCATAATTTTTTTCCCAGCGGCCCTCCCTATGCAGATACGGCCTCCAAAAGGACGCCACTGGAAATCAATTTTTCTCGAATAACTTTCAAACCACGTAATATAATTTAATGAAAATTTAATATGATAAACAGTAGTAAGAACCTCTTAAAATAATGCTCTTAAAACATAATTAGCTTGTTTAGTTTACCAGGAGCGAACTAGGTTGTACATTTTAATTCTTACATTTTTAACACCCTGTATGATAAGGAGTTAAAAAAAATAAATTTAGATACCTTGAATATTAAGCTAAAGAAAAGGTACTCTTCTTCATTGTCGATAAAAAAAAATAAAAGAATTAATGTTTTATTTTTATTAAAAAGAAACAATGATTTCCAATTTTTTTTGTCTGCTGCAAAGTGTGATATGAAAGTTATTGAAATGGAACTATTATCAGTATTAAAAACGCACTGTCTTTACAAACGTTACCTACGAAATAAATAAATAATTGCATTGACGTGTGCATTTTAAATCTTGTTGACACCTTGATCTTTTAGTACTCCAAAATTAATTTACTGAATTTTGAATACCTGGTAAATTTATCGATAATGGGATACACATTTAGTGAGTATGCAGATATGCATCTTATGTATGGTCTTGCATATTGCAATGCTTATGAAGCAAGAATGTTGTATGAAGAAAGATATTCTAATCGCAATATTCCAAATGAGATAACCTTTCAGCTACTTAACCAACGTCTAATTGACTTTATTTAATAATTTTTAGGAAGTTTTGGGAAAAGAAGTACTGATGCGGGTGTGACAAGAACGGTACGTACGATGCAATTGGAGTAAAATATTTTGGATACTGTAGCTGATACTCCTTCAAGAAGCACTCAAAGATTAGCCGTGCAGCTTAATGCGTCAAAAAACAATTGCTGAAGTACTTAAAGAAGAGTTGTTATACCCTTATCATCTGCAAAAAGTGCATTAACTACTTCCGGAAGATTTTCGTCGAAGAATCCAGTTCGCAAACTGCCTGTTAGATCAGCAACGAACAAACGGAAATTTCATTAGCAGTGTTTGTTTTATCGATGAAGCAGAGTTTACCAAAAATGGTATTGTAAATTTACATAATTCGCATGTATGGGCTGATGAAAACCCTCATGCCACTGTTGTTCATCATTATCAACATCAGTTCCAATCAATTAATGTTTGGGCAGGAATAATCGGCAATTTTTTTTTGTACTATGCGTATAGCCGCCACGATTGAATAGTGAACTTTATTTACAGTTCCTTCAGAACGCTTTTCTGGAATCAATAGAGCATTTGCTTGAAACCCGCCGAAGCATGTATTTTATGCATGATGGAGCCTCACCTCACTTTTGGGTCGCTCTACGGAGCCACCTGAATAACGTCTATCTAAACCGTTGAATAGGTAGAGGAGGTCCAATTGCCTGACCTCCACGGTCTTCCGACCTAACGCCAATGGATTTTACCTGTGGAGTCATCTCAAAACCTTGGTGTATTTTTCTTCGGTTGATACTAGGGAGGAACTTTTACAGAGTATCACATTTCATTGTGATGTGATAAGGAACAATGCTGGGTTGTTCTGGCGAGTACAGTAGTCCTATATTCGTCGGGCATGCGAGTGTATCAGAGTTCACGGTGCACATGTTGCACTTAAGTTTTTAATTATTTCTAATTAGCGTATTTAGGTTCAATCGTTACAAGCTTTAATGAGTTCAGGATGAAAATATAATACTCCAAGTTGGATTTTAAGATTTACCAATTTGAAATTAGCTAATTCTGGGAGTTTAATTTTTTAATAAAAATAAAACATTCATTCTTTTATTATTTTTTTTTTCTCGAAAACGGTTCATTTTATCGACAATGAATAAGAATATCTTTTCTTTAGCCTAATGTTCAAGGTATCGAAATTAGTTTTTTTAACTCCTTATCGTACAAGGTGTTAAAAATGTAAGCAATAAAATATACAACCTAGTCCGCCCCTGGTAAACTTAACAAGCTAATTATGTTTTAAGGGCTGTATTTTAAGAGGTTCTTACTACTGTTTATCATATTAAATTTTGATTAAATTATATTACGTAATTTGAAAGTTATTCAAGAAAAATTGATTTCCAGTGGCGTCCTTTTAGAGGCCGTATCTCCGTAGGGAGGTCCGCTAGGAAAAATAATGTATGGGAACTTGTCATCTTATTTTTAATGATTTATCTGAATCCGAGAGACTTCCACATTTTCCCGTTCACCCTGTAGAATATAACTGTTATTTAGGCTTGAAGAAAAAACTCTTTAACAAAAGTTGCTTGTAATGTTATTTTCTATCTAAATGGATCGTATTGGAAAAATTTGGGGACAAGTGTAAAATTATAAATTTTCAGTATTTTCGTTGGCAAAGAATATATATAAAAAAAATGTATCGAGTAAGATGTGTGTGTAAAAAGTATATTTATTTAATTCATCCTCTAAATATTTGTGACTTGTACAAAATAACCGGAAAAAGCCTGAAATAACTCTAGACAGAAAATCATGTATTGAGCACATTAGATTTTTGAATATTTATTTCGGAATATTTAGTTTTTATCCAATTTTTTAAATGGTCGGCTGTAATTTTCCTCTTGAGAAATATTTCTGAATGACATTTTTCCGTATTTTTAAAAATAAGGGCAGTTTACTCGTGAGTCCAATTCATATTTTTGTACTTCTCTTACAAATGGTAAATATTTTTTTAAATGTTATATTTTAACATTGGGTTTTGGACACATCATCAACTATCATCAAAAATAAGTTTTTTTGGGAAATAAGAAGGATAAAGTTAAAATTGAAAAGAATATACAATAGAGTTTCACGAGATGTAGTAGAGCAATTAAAGTGTCTTGGAAAACTAAATATATTAAAATTTATTCGTATTTAAACCAATAAACAATGTCTATACAAACCTCAAATTGCCTCAGTCTATCTGCTGCTTCTATATCTGTTGGAGTGTTTGTCAATGGTTCTGACCATTGGCAGTCGATAACAATCGACATTTTAGCTAAAAAAAATATGTATTAAAAATTTACCACTGTTGTATTTTGAAGATATCACAGCAATTTTTGAGATAGAAGAATATTCTTTGAATTCTAAAAAAATGTTAATAAAAACATTTGTTATTCATTGTTTTTAAACTGATTAAAGTTGTTGATAAGATTTTGGTTATTTGCTGATAAACAAAGATAACCAGAACTATGGAAGTCATTCTTGGTATCACTAGCCTTGATATTACGTCAATTACATCAGACAGACGGCTCTGGTGACAAATTATACCATACAAGATACCATACAATGATACCTTACCGTTATGTCTTTCATAAGCCCTGCAAAGTTTAAACGAAAAATATAGAAGATATGAAAGTGGCAGGTACGGTTCACATCTACATCGATGATTTCAAAACAAAACAAGGCTCACGGTGTGGAATATATTCCAGTTTATAATCTTATTCATAAAATAATGCTAGTGTAGTTCAAATTGAGCTGAAGGGGATTTTTTAGTAGCAAAATAAATCACCACAAAAATATCATTAAAAGACACATGTTCATCTAGAGAGAAAAAACAGGATATAACTCAGGGTTAATATTAGAATATCACTGAACCTTGAATAAAATATCCGTCTGCAAGAGCCAAGCCACATCAAAAGGTAACTAGCCAGAAGGCAATCAACCAAATATATTTTGGACCAAGGCTCTTCCATTCATTAGACTAACAACACTATCGTGATAAACTTAAATAACATTATCTCATTAAATTTAAAGACAGGTGGAATTAAACAAGAAACCGAAGTGTTGATAGAGGGCTCTTAAGCATATCCTCTCTGATTGCCCGACGCTCTCATCTATTGGGATATTTGTGTTCAGGGAGCATGGACTAATACCATGACTAATACCGACCAATGTAAGGGAGATATCTATCGGCGATGTTAAAAGAATACCATCGAACAATCAAATACCAAATCGCTACCACATAAATGTAATTATAAAAAGTAACAACACGACTCTTCCACTATGGAGGTCGTCTATTAGTGTTGAAATTAAGCACCATCATCGCTCGGTTAGTGCTGCTCACCATTAACATCTGATAAAACCATCATAATCTCAGAAAGGTTTTTTCTGGAATTGATACTTTATTTGCCGTAGTTACAAGAGATTCTAGTTTTTAAAGACTAGCTAGTTAATCAGCCTTTCTTTTTTTTTTTCTCAATATTTCTCCAAATTTATCATTTCATTTATCTGGATGTCCAATGATACACTTTCGATTATAAAGAGAAACTTTTAAGATTCCTTCAAGTTATATGTCATGCATAGTCTTTGTTAGTTGTTATCCCTTATTTCTGCTCACCTACAATTATAATATCTTTGTGACATTCCAACATTTTCTGTTTTCATTTTACATTTTACACCCTATGATAACCTGAAAGTTTGAAACTTGTTGCATTATTTTTCATGCTTTATTTGTTTTTAATTGGGGTTTCAGGTTCAAGGATAATTCCCAGATATTTCCCCTCCTTCACAAACGGACATCTAATAAATCCAATTATTTTATTTAATGTTTTAGAGTATTACTCCATCAAGTAAGTTTGAATGTAAACCATACGAGATAGTATTGTACTCTACATGGTAATATGGAACATCGATGCTTTAAATCCTGTATGAAGGTTCTAAAGATTAGGTTAAAAATAACTGGAGCGATAAGATCTATTTCCACTGCATCCCCAAAGAATACACTGCGGCTGTGGCTCATGAATAATTTATAGATCATGTTTCGATCCACATCTTCAAATGAAGGACGTTGAGTTGAGTTAGTCTTGTTTACAGGTATGCTTTAATTGGATAAATTCGAAGAACTCGTACTTAATTATTTCCAGAGCGAATCAGGCACGAGATAGTTTTGTTAATTCATCTTTCACGATACAGTGTACAGTATTCTATCATAAATCCCTTAAAAATGCGCGGATCATTTTTGCTTCCTTTCTGGGTCTGAGTTGAGACGTTTGTTTAAAATAAGAACATTATCGGAATCCATCTCTTTCAGACTATGAAACAAGTAGTTAACACTTATATAAATACAAATACATACACAAAAAACATAATAAGAAACTCATATAGATTCTATTGTAATCTGGACGTTAATGAATCGCAGGACAGTGTTAAGATGCACTAAATAATTATTGAACCTAGGTGCATTCAGTAAGCGCGTCTATAAGTTCAGTAGTAAATTCATTGCTTTTTTAGTTGCATATATTCATTCGCATTAGAATTCTAGACAAAGGATTAATATTTAACAGCTCAAAGCAGAAGAATTATAAGAATATATCTTTCTGCAATCATAATTTTCTGAGTTTACTTCTAACCAAATAAGTAACTTTATAAAACCGTTGAAATGTAAAAACGGTATTTTTTGAAATAAAATGCTAATTTATATCAACAAAAATAAATTTTATTTACTGTCAATAGAATTAAGCATGAAAATTCACCACACAATTCAATCAAGCATCTACAGGATGTGTGACACCACAGGTAATGAAAGTCTACTTCAAAAAGAGTCATATATACCAGCAGAAGATATACTACTTTTTTTCAGGGTTCATATTAAGATTACATTATTATTATCCATCCTGTAAAATTCTTTAAAAAATAGATGGTATAAAATAACTCTTACCTTTGTAATGGGGAAATTCCTTTTTGTACATTCGATAAGCAGCGGCATGCGCTTTCAGAAGAATGTAAGCACACTGATATTCTAATAAGCCGTCACTGTTTAAACCCGGAGCAAATGTTTCTTCGCCATATCCTGCATGGCATATTTGTTTGGGCTCATTAATTGTTGTCCATATGCCTACTTCTGGAAACCTTGAAATTTTTCATAGTTATAATTATCCAAATATAGAAATATATAGGGTATTTAATTTGGAAACGAAAATAATTTAACGGTGAATAGAGATCACTGAGATGCGTCTTAATAATCGAGATTGATTTCTTCTTTTTTAATATTTGGTACAAATGCTTTTTATCCATAGCTCACACATTGTACTTGCCATAAGAAAAATCCAAGTTCGGATTAGAAAAAATCGATAACTTTTTGTCCTCAAAATGACACCCTGTATATAAAAATTTTCAAAATCTTTTTCACTTAAGTTTTGAACTTGAATTGAAATTTAGTGTTTTTAAAATGGAATGTTATGAATTTTTAAATACATTTTGGCGTTTTCTAGTTACTTGACTTTTTATTGTTTAATGTATACCTACTAATTTTTCATTGAATTTATTATAATTTTTTAAAATGTAACATCTGCCAAACAATTTATTTCTATTAATTAACAGAATAAAAGGTTAACTCAATTTTAAAATATCACCCGTTTTAGGAATGTACAGTATGCCTCATAATAATTTATTTTCAACATTGTAATTAATCTGAAACCTTTTTGTTTAAAGAAGTATAGAAACTAATATTTTTATTAAAAAATACATGTTAAGTAAAAATTATAATCATTTTATTCCGTAAATATTACCTACAAGCCAGTACAGCAAAACGATGTCCGTAATGGTAATGTGTAAATTAATTGCAAAACTTATGATTGTTTTTATGAATATATGGTATCTCAAAATTTTGCCAATTCAAAGTATGATAGTTGTTTATGTACTAAAAGGGATAAAAAAAGACCCAGTGTACATTATCTTGTATGTGGATGACTTAGTTTTGTGTAGTTCTAATTTTAATAAACTACAACAGATAAAGGAGAATTTAAACAAAAAATTTGAGATGAAAGACTTTGGAAAAATTAAAAATTATTTAGGAATCGATATTGAATATAATAGAGAGAACAAGCTTATGAGTTTAAGTCAAACAAAATATATTGAGCTAATTGCAGAAAAATATGATATAGGTGAAAGCAAAAATTATCGAACTTCAATTGAAATTATTTTAAAACTAAATCCCGCAGAAATTTGTGACAGACACATTCAGTACAGAAATTTAATAGGGACTTTGTTATATATTAGTCAAGGGACAAGTCCAGATATTTCTTATGCTGTCAACTACCTGAGTGGATTTCAAAATAGCTATTCAAACACTCATTATAAGTACGCTCTTAGAATTTTAAAGTATCTACATTCTACAAAACATTTGAAATTGAATTTTAATTCCTTATGTAATATCCCTATTGATTATGTTAACGCCGATTGGGCAAGTGACATAGTTGACCGAAAATCTCGAAGTAGTATTTTAGTTAGAATTTTGAGTAATCCTGTCTTATGGATATCATCATGTCATGCAGAATACATTGCTTTAGCAGAAGCAACAAACGAAGTAATTTTTCTAATAGGTATAGCAAGAGATTTGTCACTAAATATAAATGAACCCATTGAAATATTTGAGGATAATTCATCAGCTAAACACTTAGCAATGAATGGAAATTTATCAAAAAGTAGTAAACATATTGATGTTGTCTATCATTATGTAAATGATTTTGTTAAAAAATGCATTATAAAGGTATCAAAGATTCCATCTGAAGACCAGTTAGCAGATATTTTAACAAAAAGTTTAAGTTTTGTTAGATTCGAAAAATTAAGAGAGTTATTAAGTATTTGTTAGATTGTTAATGTTAATTATTTTGTTACTAAGATTAGTATTGTATTTGTATCAATAGATGTCGCTTCTAAAAGTAAGGAGATGTGTTAAAAAGCATTATTTTAGAAGCGTGACAACGCTGTGAGTGTATTCCTTAGTTTAGTCTCCAATAAGTGCGGCTGTGCGGGACATTCTGTCAAGGCGGTCAAGTAGAGGCGAGTTCGGATTGTCAGGGGCTGGATCAACTATTCTATACTGATACAGGCTCCGAAGCTGAACCAGACCAAATTCCTGAGTTAAATTTAAAAACTTGACCAGAAACATCTAAATCAGTATTCAGTCCCTTGAAGACAAGATCAAAATACAAAGAGTTTAGTCCAGTCATTGAAAAAGCAGAAAAGGTTGGCATTCAGCCTGAAAAACTAAAACAAACAAGAAAAACCAAAAACTAGTTGAGTATATTTGGTCCAAAGAAGGATTTGAATATCCC